GTTTATATTAGTGTAGTACAATTTTAAAATTTATTATTTTTTATTGAAGTACAGTCAATTACAATGTGTCTGGTGTACAGCACAATGTCCCAGCCATGCACATACATATATATATTCGTTTTCATATAAAATTTATTTTTTAGGGTGATATTTCATTTAGGAATAGATCACAGGGAAACAAAGAACACTATAAAGATGTATTTACATAAAGATGGGAGCTGTACAATTGTCTTAACAATAGAGAAATGGTAAATCATTATTTCATGGTAATAGATAGGTTATAATTATGTAACCAAAGGAAACATTTAAGAAAACTTTCAATGACACAGATATAGAACAGGGTTTTTAAAAAGCTGGAAACAAAACTGTGAATACACTTGAGAGCTTATCTATGACCAAAACCCCCAAAAAACTGCAAGAAAATGCACAAAATTTAAAAAATGGTTATCTCTGTATTGTGAAACATACTTGTAAATTTTCCATATTAAAAGCATACATAACTATTATTTTTTAAATGCTTTTCCCGGGGAAGGGGGTAAGAAGAAGAAAGAAATAGGTGACGATTAAGAGGTACAAGTTTTCATTTGCAAAATAAATGAGTCATGGGTATGACATGTACAGTGTGGGGAATATAGTCAATAGCTATGTAATATCTCTGTATGGTGATATATCGTAACTAGACGACTAACCATGGTGATCAGTCTGAAATGTACAGAAACATAGAATCACTATGTTGTATAACAGGAACTAGCAATGCATAATAACTCAGAAAAAGATCAAATTTGTGGTTATCAGAGATGGCCACAGCAGGGGGTAGGGTGGGGGTATTGGATGAAGGCAGTCAAAAAGTACAAATTTCCAGTTATAACATAAATAAGTACTAGGGATGTAATACACAACATGATAAATATAATTAATGCTGCTGTATATTATCTATGAAAGTTGTTAGGACAGTAAATCCTAAGAGTTCTCATCACGAGAAAATTTTTTTTTTCTATTTCTTTTATTTTGTATCTACATGAGATAATAGATGTTCACTAAACTTACTGTAGTAATCACTTCATGATGTATGTAAATCAGATTATTATGCTGCACACCTTAAATTTATACAGTGCTGTCAGTTA